GCTGGGCTGTGGAGCGGGCGCAAATCCCCATCTATCTCCTTCCCATGGCAGATGTGGGTCCAGGAGAGTGCTAATATGGACGATGAGGGCTGGTAACCTTTTGCCACCTCTGTTAGACCCTTTAGGTAACAGAGGGACTGTTGTCAACCAGCAGCTGTTCTCTTCACTAACAGGTCGGCCTGATTTACCGTGATGAAATCACTTGCTGGAATGGAATGGAAAAAGTCTCCTCTTTAATGTAGATTTTAAAAACTGGGGGAAAAAAAAAGAAAAGGAAAAGAGAGTGGGAGGAGAAAGCAAGCCCAGCGAGTGCATGAGTTTTGGGGAGGCATCCAGGAACAGAAGCATATGTTTAACTTCAAGATGATTCATTGATCCCCCTTAGCTCATGAAATTTCCTAATGCCATCTCAGATCCACTGCAGTACAGTTATGAGATGAAATGTGTTTTCACTAGGCAGGTGCCTTTGAGTGGTTTTAAGTCGTTTAAATGAATTCGGCATAGAAACTTTCACCAAAACTAGTGAGAGACATGTAGCATTCACTGTCAGCAGAGTATGCAGTGAGCCTGCTGCCCTGCAGGTGGGGATATGAACCAAGAGCTCTTTCTCCTGCTTCAGTCTCATGATGCATCTTAATGAGCCCTGGATGTTGCCTTTGATTTGTTTTTTTTCCTAAGAGCCAGCTCCGTTCCTTTCCAGCTGTGTCAGTCAATGCGGAGCAGCAGCAGTCGAACTGAGCTCAGTCTCCTCCTCTCATGCCTGTGCTCTTGGAAAAACCTGCTAGTGGGGTGTAATCAGTAATGATGGCAGTAAGTGACTGCTGATCCAGGAGCTTGACCCCAAAAACAATTAATAATGTATTTCTCTGGTATCATACCCCAGGGTGTCAGCAGCATAATGAAGTGGCCTGTTAACAATACATTAACAGCTATTGAAAGGAGGCTTTCCAGCAGGGAAGCGTGTGAAACAAAGAGCATTCTCTTCCAGATGAAGAGGGGTTTGTTACCCTGGGCTGCAGCCTGGCACTGAACTTCCCTCTGAACCATAGATGACTTCTTCAGGTAGTGAGAGGCCTCTTTGACAGCTGCGCTTCAGTTCCCAAGAAGGATGAGCTCTGCCAATAGTTGGGCTCGCGGTCTGGAGGCTGCTACCGAGGCAGCTGGCACTGATCATTTCCTTGTCTCTTTGATGCAACAGGGGTCTCGGACACCAGGGTGAAGTGGTATTTATGGATCTCAGTTGCTTCAGGCAATTTTTGGCTCCTCTAAATGATAAATGCTCTTTTGAAACTTAAGATTTGGGTGAATTCCCAGTTAGCACCCAGAGCAAAGAATGAGGATTATCAAAGGTCCCCTTTCACAGATAAGGTGGTTTTGTTTGACACCCCCCCTCTTCCCTGAGAAAAAATTCCAAAAAGTCTTGTAAGCTAGACAAGACTGAACAAAAGCTCTGTTTTTCAGTCGGTACAGCTGTGGAGGTTGAGAGGCTTTTTTTTGTCTGTTGAAAAAGTGTCAAGTCCTTTAACACTTACAGTTCAGTAGTCTTGCTTCCCTGCAGAGTAAAAATGGAGCAAGTAGTAGCTTTGTCTCCCTGTTACTTACTAAGAGATAACAACTGCAGGTTTGTACAGTAGTAAGATATCTAAAAGGCATTAAAATAGTGTTTATTAAAGAAGTGTTCTTCTCACAAACCTGAGATTTTCACTCCTGCCATGTTTCAAAATCAGTTTTAGTTGGGAAATATAATGGCAGAAGGTGAAGGTGCACAGAATTACTCATTGTTTTGGAAAAGTGTTGCATTCCCTTAAAACTTGGAGTAAAGAGGTAGCAGAAACTTCCTGAGGTTTCTCAGTGTCATCCAAATAATGCTTAGTTTTTTTTCTTCTCCCCCAAAAAGAGTGCTGGAAAGAAGTTAACAAACCTCAACATTCGGAAGTCCCCATGATCTGTTCCTTCCCAAATCCAGATGGCAGCTGGGAGTGCAGATCCAGCAACACTTCTTGAATGGCCATTTCTAGACTTTATCAGTCCCCTCCTGAAAACAGAAGTAGTGAACAGAGCTTTTTTTTGATGGTTAGTTTAGCCAGCTGTTTGAATGTGGGAACAGAGATATATTAGAGAATTTGTGGATCAGCTATGTCATGACACTTTATTTCTGATAAATTCTGTGGATTTTTTTTTTTTTTTTTCCAAATGAGTTATCTCAGGCTTTAGGGACAAAGTGCTCCGCTATCAAACTTGCCTTTTGCTTTTGAAATGGACTTGTTTCTTAACTTTTCATTTCAGTTCCCTTTTTCCCTCCTTTCCCCTGGAGAATTTTGCCATCAGCTCAAAATGCCAGTGTCAGTGCTGTGACTGGAACTGCCAATACGTTCTGCCACAGTCATAGGCTTCTTTTATTGGAAATGTCCCTGTCTGAAAACCAATTTTCTTGTCTTGATGAGTAAGCACTGTCTAATGTGGGGGAAAAAAAAAAGTATAAATAAGTGTGTACCAACTAAGTAATTCAAAACGTGGCAACGGGTTCAGTTACTGATAAGAGTAATGATTTTTGTGGCATAAATGTGTCAAAATACTTAATTACATAGAATTAGCAATCCTAAAATGCAGTGTTACAAGAAACCTCCAAATGTATGTAAGTATGGAGAAATATTGTCCTTGTCTGCTTTCCTGAAGTAACTGGAATGACTTTGGAATTACGGCTGAATTCTTTTGTTTTGTTTTAATTTCAGTAAAATATGAAAGAATCAAGTTCTTGGTAATTGCATTGAAGAGTTCTGTGGAAGTCTATGCATGGGCACCAAAGCCATACCATAAATTTATGGCCTTTAAGGTAACAGTATATTTCGGCCGTATATAGGATTTTCATATATCCACTTGCAGTTACCCCTTTTACAAAAATGCTCTGACATTTTATCATGGTCGTCTTAAAAGTTCTTTGGTAAATCTGCCATGAACTTGATATTATATTTTAATTTAAGAGCTTTTTTAGCTCTTAGAGGCAGTAGACTTAAAGTTCTAAATTGTAACTGAGCATAAACTAATAATCAAAGTAACACAATATCACAACTGTTTGTTTCATCTCTCTGTAAATAAAACATGAGGCAGAGGGAAGTGAGCTGAGTCTAAACATCTTCATCTGAGCAGCACAAGTCATTAAGTGATACTCAGCATTGTTATTTATTTGAATGCAGCATGAATGAAGTTAGCTGGCTTGGTATAATTACCAGACTGATTTGCAGACAATCAGTTACTGTTGGTTGTGCAGATTAAAGTAAACACTACGGGAGTGTCAAATTGCCCTGAACTTTGCGGAAAACAATTCTTACTAAAAAAACAAACAGACCAACTAAAGTAAACCCCACAGAAAATAACTTACAATTATGTGATTGAAATGCAACAGGTTGCAGAGTAATCTGTCCTTGTCCATGAGTGACATGTTAGCCTGACTGGTCTGATGGATGGGGGCCAGAGGGACGTGGGAGGAATAAACCCATAATATGTGCATTAGAGCATGTTTTTATAAAACCCACTGTGGTTCTAAGCAGTAAAGTGAGTCTCACTGATGTTGTCTTACAGTCATTTGGAGAATTGGTACATAAGCCATTGCTGGTGGATCTAACCGTAGAAGAGGGTCAGAGACTAAAAGTGATCTATGGCTCCTGCGCTGGCTTCCATGCCGTTGATGTGGATTCAGGATCGGTCTATGATATATATCTACCAACACATGTAAGAGCTGCTGCTGGGGTCGGGTTTTTTCTTTCTTCCTGGTTTCCCCCCTTCCTCCTTTCCTCAGATGGCCAACATGCCAGGCTGTTCCTGTGGATCACTGCCAGATGCTGGCAGTGGTAAATTGGCTGGAGGGGTCCAAACAGATGCGCCCACCTGTGCTTAGGGGCTTGTGCCTCGCTGTCTGTCCTCACCTCACGGTCAATATGTCTCCATGGTTGGGAGCTGCCCACTCAGATCTCATGTGGGCGAACATGACTGTTTCAGGGGTAGCAGCTAAATGGCCAGGTGCATTGCAAATGCCCAGCAGAGGCTGTAGGGAAGGTGGCAGTACAAATGACATGACAGTCCACTGGTAAGATTCAACAGGGTTGGCAAAGGCCAAGTGACCTTAGCTACCAATGTTTCCTGTTGTTCGTTGCACACCGAGGTGTCAGATGGGCCTGCAGCTTGCAGTGTACCTCCCCAAGCACTGTTCACTACAGTGCAGAGGTCTGAGGTCTGCATCTGGGCTGCTTGCCCCAGGCTCCCTTTCTGCCCATGGGAAAGAAGGTTTTAGTGTCTGCCTTAAGATGGGAGCATTTGTGCCCCAAAGGTTTCCCGGTCTTTGTTGTCACTCTGTAGGGTGTCTAGCTTGGGCAGAGCAGAGCTAGCACTTCTAAAGTGAGGGAATCCCCGATGTGCTGCCAGCCAAACCCAAAAATCACCCAACCCTTTCTCCCAGTGCAAGCTCTGTGGCATGAAAACAAAAGGCTTCCTCTTCTCTTCCATCTCTGTAGATCCAGAGTAGTATCCAACCTCACGCAATCATCATTCTCCCAAACACGGATGGGATGGAGCTACTGGTCTGCTACGAGGATGAAGGAGTTTATGTCAACACGTATGGAAGGATCACCAAGGATGTGGTTCTGCAGTGGGGAGAAATGCCAACTTCAGTTGGTAAGTGCCTCAGCAGAGTCAAATACAATGTGCCATAAGGGAGTGCGAGTGTGTGCATGCGGGCAGAAGAAAGGTGCATCAGGTTTGACTTCAGATTCAGAAGCAGCGATGCTGTAGTATTCCTGGAAAACAGCTGCGCAAAGTGGAGAGTAATCATATGGATCTGGTTTGTGCTGAGTTTTTAAGAACAAAATCCAAACAAACAAGTTGTGGAGTTCAGGAATGAAAAACACACTTAATAAACAGCAGGGCCTCAGTGGGCAGCTACAGAATGTTTGCTAGACAGCCACAAAGTTGTGGAAACCTTTCAGTCTAAAGACGTGAGGTGGCAGATGGGTAAGATATTATTATGGGTAATTCTATGTTGATAATGGCTGTATATCTGATGTGTTTACTTTAATTCACCTGCAGATTGCTCATCTATCCTAGCATGATAATTCTCCCAAATCTCTCCAGTTCAAAATAAGGTAGCTTTGAGAGTGAGAGCAATGAGTGTAGTAAAATGGGCACAGATTTGTTACGGACACAAGTACGCACCAGGATCCCTCTTACTGCCTGTGCTGCCATATTTCAGTGCTGAGCGTAGCATGGGCTGTGGTCACACCTTCCTTTTGTTGGGCAAGCCCATTGATTTTTACGTGCTTTGGAATGGATGCGTGTATTGGGAGACGGCTGCTGATAGCTGTTCGAGCAACATGAACAATAATGGAGGAGGAAATTTAAAGAAGTTTCATGCACAGCATGTTCACTCCTGCAGAGACTAACTCCTGACTACATCTAAAAGCAAGCAGCATTTATCAGCTGGCAAATTGCAGAGCCTTTGGGGACTGGAGTGCCTGTGAAGTAAATGGCACTGAGGCATCCGACACCATCTGAACATCTCATCTGACAATTTTTAGATGCTGTTTGGCCCAGTTACCACTAGTGACATATTTAAAAATAAGTGAATTTCCATCATGATGGTATATGCAATGTTATAGGTGTACATTATACTGTAGTAGATAATGTGATTTAATTTCACTGAAAAGTAATATGAGAAAAATTCTATAAAATGGAAGTACTACAAAATTAAATATTTTTTAGTTTTGCTTGTTAAGAGCTATTGTTCTTCATTTTATTTTTCTGTTAAGTATGCATGCAAATCAGAGGCAACAGCTTATTCTTCATTAAGTTCCCATATGTTATTTTTGGCAGCGTTCCTAAGACTATCCATCAAATTGCTTTTTGAATATACCTTTTCATAATGCTGGTGACTTTCTCCTTTATTTGATTTTTTTTACTGCTTGCAAGAACAGATTTTTTTCCTCATGCTACTACTAATCTGTTTTCCCCAGTGACACTCTTAAGGAAAAATGCTTGATTTTTTGCTTTATTTGTGCACAAAGGAAAGCGGTATGAGAAATAGCAGTATTTCCACTTGGAGAGCTTAATATGAACGTCTTTTAAGATATGTAGAATACTTTTCAGAACAATTGGCTTTCTCAAGAAGGAGAGCAGGTTTTTGAAGTATTACTCCTATTAAAGGAGGCTAGTTCATTTTTTTCTAACTTTCCCTTTCCCTCTCCCCTTTTTTTGTTTTTGCTGACAAACTCCTTCAAGGAGGGAAAATAACACTGTAAGACACAGAGCTGGCGCTGGGGACATAGAGGAGTGGATGGGTTTAGTCTGTTTAAACCTTGGGTTCTGCTTTCTCCTTGTCAACACCTAATTAGCCTGTCTCTTTGCCAAACTTGGGAGAAAAAGCCTGTGTAAAAACACGATGCTCCTTCCATTTAGTTGAAGGTTGGAAGGTTCCCATTGTGTCATAAATGCTCAGGCAAGACATATATTGCTAATGTGGAAAACCCACGGGGAAATAAAAAAAAAAAAAGTATTTTTAGGCATCATGAAGATGCTGAAGACAGAAATAGCACTCTGAACATGTGTGTTGTTATAATAAGTACATGCAGGTCATTCTTAACTCGAGTGCATGAGTATATTCCTCTGCTTTTCCAGTTCCTCTGTGTTGCCCTTTACCTCTCCTAATGGGCTGTGTGCTGTGTTTTCTTTCCAAAGCATACATCCGATCCAACCAGATTATGGGCTGGGGAGAAAAAGCTATCGAAATACGATCGGTGGAAACTGGACACTTGGATGGTGTGTTCATGCACAAAAGGGCACAAAGACTCAAGTTCTTATGCGAACGCAATGACAAGGTATAATTCTTCCCCCTCCTTAGTTTCTTGCCAAGATGGTAAACATGTACTTTAACCGGGTACTTGTGGTGGGTTGACCCCGACCAGCAGCCAAACACCCACCCAGCCTCTCGCTCACTCCCCTCTCCCGTGGGATGGGAATAAAATAGAAGGAAGGCGAAAAGACTCATGGATCAAGATAAAGACACTTCAATAAGGACAGCAAAAGCTGCGCATGCAAGCTAGGCAAATAAGGAATTAATTCACAGCCTCCCATTGGCAGGCAGATGTTGTGCCGCTTCCCGAGGAGCAGTGCTTCAGCACGCGTAACGCTTGCTTGGGAAGACGAATCTCATCACCACAATGTCCTCCCCGTCCTCTCCCTTTCCCTGATCTTTTATTCCTTTCCCTGAGCTTTTATTGCTGAGCATGATGTCATACGTTGTGGGGTATCCCTTTGGTCAGTTTGGGTCGGCTGTCCCAGCATTGTCCCCTCCCAGCCTATTGCCCATCCCCAGCCTACGGGCCTTTGAGGGGCGAGGGGGCCAGAGAGAAAGCCTTGATGCTGTGCAAGCGTTGTTCAGCAGTAGCCAAAACACCAGTGTGTTAACAACACTGTTTAGCCACAAATGCAAAGCCCAGCACCACACGGGCTGCTACGAAGAAATTCAACTCCATCCCCGCCAGACCCAGCACAGCACTGCAATTGCACGGTAAATATCAGGGGCAGTAAAGGCTCATTAGAGCCTCTGCTGTCCTACCTGTTGAATTTACCAATCTCTTTTCTTTGCAGGTTTTCTTTGCCTCCGTACGGTCGGGTGGAAGCAGTCAAGTCTATTTCATGACCCTTGGCAGGACTTCTCTTCTGAGCTGGTAGAAGCAGTGGGATTTGGCGAGGAATTGCTGACATCCAGAGTCTGAGATCTTCATAACTCGGAATTATTTTCAACTGGAGTACAGACCTGCACTAATGCAGCACTCTGTGTAAATGTGTGTGCAGGCATCACTGGTGTTAGGTTTCTTTTTGTTTTTCAACTGAGGCTGCGACGCAGCTGGTGCTGTAAAGATATTGCCATCAGGTGCTACAATGTCTTTGAGATTTGGGATCACGCTAGAAAGCTACAGGTCTTCTTTTCCCTTCAGCTCCAGGATTCCTAGGCTTTGAAGGAGTCTGTTTGTTAGTGTTAAAACAGAGACGGGGAAAAAAAAGGAAAAAAAAAAAAACGAGACTTACCATGAACATGCTGTTGAGTGGACAGGAGGCAGGCAAGAGAAGGTGAGAAGTGGTGTAGAGAGTCAGACTGGCTGAAACAGAGGGCAGATCTAGTCTAGTAATGTTAACAATGTATTTAATTGACATTTCTTTTTTGTAATGTGACAATATGTGGACAAAGAGGAAGGTGGAGGTTTTAAGAAGTTAATATTTATAAAATGTGAAAGACACAGTGACTAGGATAACTTCTTTTTGGGGACAGGGAGGGTGGGAAGGGGCTTGGGGTGGAGTTCTTGGGGTTTTTTTGTTTCTGCAGTTTTATTTTTGGCCTGGCCAATAACTTTAGTCATTTTCTGTGTACCAGGTATTGCCTGAAACATGTGCAGATGATAAAAAAGAAAAAAAAAAAAAGAAAAAAAGGGAAAAAAAACAAAAGAAAAAAAATTCATTTTCTATAATGATTCTGTGTTAGGCCAGAACTTGGTTATGTCACAGTATTAGCACTGCCTCAGTTAAAGGTTTAATTTTTGTTTAAACCTAGAAGTGCAACAACAGTTTTACCACAGTCTGCACTCACAGAACTTAAAAAAAAAAATAAAAAAAAAAAAAAA